ACAACAGAAATGTGGGTCATGGGAGACAGCAGATAGTATAAGATATGAAAAATATTAATTTGTAATTTATCAAGGGTTCATGAGGGTGAGAGAGTGGGGGAAGGAGAAAAAAGGAGGAACTGGTACCAAGGACTCAAGCAGATACAAAATGTTTTGAAAATGATGATGGCAACATGTGTACAAATGTGCTTGATACAATTGATGTATGGATTGTATAAGAGCTGTAAGAGCCCCCAATAAGATTATTTATAAATAATAAAAAAGAAAGAAAGAAAAAGAAGGTGGGGGAAGATACAGATAGGATGCACCTGTGAGTAATTGTGAACAGGATTCCCCAGAAGGCCATCCTGCTTCATAGAAAATAAGCCCTCAGAGAAGCAGAATGAGGGATCTCATCATTGGCAAGAGCCAGGAGCAGAGATCGTCCACTGGACTCAGCATATGCCTTACCCATTCCTGATCTTCATATTGGGGGCTGACCAGTACCAACCACCCTATTTTCAGGTATTGGCACATCTCTAGATTGTTAAGTGTGAGACAAGTAATATTGTTGAAAACATTGTGAGACTTGATCATACTATCTGAGCCCACTGAAGATTGTTACTACTGAAGATTTCATGTCTCCATTAGAAGATCCTGGATAGATTAGGAGCAACATGGGGAGCAGAACTCAAAATCATAAAAGAGACCAGGCTTACTGGTTGTAAAGAGACAGGAAGGGCCTCTGAAACTATGGTCCTTATCTACCCCTGTGATAAAATAACCAATTGAGAGCAAGAGGGCAGCATTTACCCAATGACAAAAGTCAGAGGGTTAGAAGAGGAGGACAAGAGCAAAGAGAAACAGAGTAAGTGATACTACATTGAGGGCATCGCAATGGATGAGTTGAAAAAAACGTGTACAAAAAACCTGTAAAACTGATTCTCTGCTCTGACCTAATTCACAATAAACACTTTTTTAAATAGGAAATTTAGTGTCACTACAGAGGCCATTCCAAAGAAAATTGATCCATCAAAATGTGATAACCATCTAGCAATATCATTACTATCATACACAAGTAAAATTTTTATGAAGTTAATTCAAATATGGTTGCAGTGGTATATGGACAGAGAAGTGCAGAAATTCAAACTATGTTCAGAACAGGAAATGGAACGAGGAGTATCATTGGTAAAGCCAAATGAATCTTTGTCTGAAAGCAGGGAATATCAGAACAAGGTTTGCCTGTGTTTTATGGAATGTGTGAAGATATTTGACTATATGTATCATGAGAAATTATGAACCACATTGTAAAGCATGAGAATTCCAGAGCATTTAATTGTGCTCATAAAACTTGGATATAGAACAAAAGACAGTTTTCTAACAGAACAAAGGAATACTTACTGTGTCATTTGAAACCAGAAAGGTGTGTGTAAAGATTCTACTCTTTCATCATCCTTGTTCCATTTGTGTGCTGAGGGGAAAACCTCTGAGAAGTTAGACTATAGGAAGAAAAACAACTTATCTGGATTGGAAGAAAGACTCATTACAAGCTTTTAATATGCGGATGGCACAGCCCTGCTTGCTGGACATAAGGAAGACTCAGCACACCTCAACATAAAACAAAACTCTTCACAATTGGTACATAAACAACATCATGACAAAGAAAGATTGAAATTATGAATGATTTCATTTTCCTTGGCTCCACAATGACTAAGGAAGCAGCAGTCAACCATTCAACTGGCACATTTCACGGGGAAAATCTGCCACACAATGCTTCTTCGAAGTGTTAGAAAGTAAAGATGTTATTTTCAGGGTTCAGGTCCACTTGACCCAACCCATGGTATTTTCTATCTTCTCTCCTTTTGTATGAAAGTGGAATAATTAATAAAGACCCAAGAACTATAGATACATTTGAATGATGATGCTGGTAACAAATATTGAGTATATCTTGTATTGCCAAAAGAATGAAAGAAAAAAAATCCGTCCCGGAAGTACAGCCAGAATGCTCTTTAGAAGCAACGACGGTGAGATTTTTTTCATGCATACTTTGGAATACCAGTCCGAGGAGAACGATACCACGCTTGGTAAAGCACAGAGACATTGGAAAAGAGGAAGCCCTTCAATGAGATGTATTGGCCACACTGAGCTAGAGCCAGACTGTACTATATTACTCATGAGGGTTCAGAACTGTGACTTGTATAAGTTTGAATCACAAACATATTTCTAATCCAAAATGATAACAAAGGGAAAAATACAGGTTTCAAATATAGTATTTCATTTATGTATGTTTCAGATTACTGTATGATCTGTTTATTGATGTTTCCTTGGATTACCTTGTTTAAATTAATTGGTTTAGGAATTTGGAATGTCTAAGGTCACATCTCGATAACTTCAAACAGAATTTATTTGGATAATCAATAAGTTAGCCAGAGATTGTGTAATTCAATATATAAGATCTAATAACATACGTCCACTTTGTGTCAAATTTTGTTGTGCTCTGGTGGCCCTGCCTGGTTAGCACTGGATTACTAATTGCGAGGTCAGTGTTTCAAGTCTACCAGCTGTAGACTTTGTAAAGATTTACAAACCCTAGTTAGGGTTTATATGAGCCAGAATCAACTTGTTGGTAAAGGGGTTGAGTTTGTTTTGTGGAATGGGATAAAATTTTGATAACTCACAATATTTCAAGCTTTTTTATAATGCAATTTCGCACCCAATAGACTACAGTTAAGCGTAAACATACCTTTTATCTGCGATGAGAAGCCAAAAAAGTTTTATAATTCCTTCTATTGTGATATCCACTTTATTGCAGTGATCTGAAACCAAACCTCAAAATTTATGAGGTTACACCTATGTAAACATTTTAAAACAAACCCAAGTGTCATGTGGAATAACTTAAAAAATAGAATAAACAAAAGTCCTCACTGCTAGCACGTCAATTCTGATTCGCAGTGACCCTAAATGACAATGTATAACTGCCTCTGTGAGTTTCTAAAGCAGTAAATCTCCTTTTTAAAGCCATATAATTCACATTTCATACAATTAATAGTCCGATCATATTAAGAAGACTTGTGCAATCATTACCACCATTAATTTCAGAACATATTGCTCCTTCTCATACTCAACGTTGTTTTCCCCAACCTCCCCTGCCATGCCCCCAGGTAATTACTAATGGAGTCACCTATAGATTCACAAATCATACAAAACAAAAACATGATGCAAACAAAAAATGACAAAGCAAAACAGAGAAAAGCTTCAATTGAAAGGGAAGCAGAAAATATTAAAAATGGAAACAATTTAAACATGAGTCCAAAGGGAGCTCAAATGATCAGGTGTTACCACATTAACTTAACTACATCTGCCATAATTGATTTTATAATGCTTTCTACCTGATAGCAAGTCTATTCACATCCCTGGACTCTGGTCAAGAGAAGATTCACTGAAGGCTTAATCCATGTAGGGACCCTGCAAATGGATTTGGGGCTTCTACTATCATCCATAGCCTTCTGCAAATCGAGCATTCAAAACGGAAGCTTTGATAGTGTTCTTTCTCCCATGAATCTGCTGGTAGATTCTAAGTGCTGAGTTTGCAGTTAGCATCTCAACTAATCACCCCCTGTGTCACCAGGGCTGCTGCTCCTGTGGACGAGGAAAGGCCAATTACTTGGACCACTTACAATCAGACTGAATAAGGAAATAATTACTTGAAGAAACCCTGCAAAATGCCAATGATTTCTATTCATTTTTCTGTTATCAACTAGTAGGAGCAAAAGATGCAGAATTTCTACATAGAATAAAATCATAACTTAATCACTTGTGCATTGACTCAGTTAAAAAGGGCATCACACATTCATAGTTAATAGCTTTTTCTTTTGTTGCTTACTTAAAGAAAAGTTAAATGGTGATATGTCTGTGTTTCTGCAAAAATCTTTCCACTGAAGAGGTAAGTGAGAACCACTGACATGTTTTATCGCACAGCTGAAATAAAAGTTTCTTTAAAGGCCAAATGTCAAGTCCTAGGGATTAGTCCTAATAGCTGATTAGCTGGGGAACTTCACGAATGGATCTTTACTTCAAGACATTTTAACATTACGAAACAGAAACGTCTTATATAACTTCCCTTTGATCATTAGAGGTTATGACCTCATTTATTGAAATAAAGTTTAATGATCTAGTTTTTCTCACAAGTAGAAAAGATTAGTTTAGGTAAACAGAGCATTCTGTTATACATTCCAGGAACTAAATATTTCAGCCTCAAATATCCCAAGAAAGCTGTCATCCCCACCAAGGAAAGTAACCACCACCTCTGATGACAGCCCCGATAATCCATGTCAAGAAATTATACATGGAAACGCTCCATCTCTGTCTCTACCTCTAAAACATAGGACTTCATCTCCTGAAGAACAATCTTTCAGGGTGCAATTTAAAACTGTCGTCTCTGAACTACTCAGTCAAGGAGGGATACTTAAATTATTTTTAAGATCCGGTTAATGCCAACAAATTACGCCCTCCCCTCCAGACGATGAGAGTTGGTGAGTTAGATCTCCCTAGATCCAAGTCACTCGTTACAGCAATGAGAAGATCTCATTGGACTATTAATAGCTCAGGTCACTAATCAGAAAGGTGTTACCGTGAGATGCCAAATAGCTCCCTGCTCGTTGTATTCAGGACCCTGTCTATGGCTACCACACACACTGTGCTAACTGGGAACTCCCTGCATTTTTGTTAATCTTCCCTGCACATCACATATTCACAGTCAACTTCTGTATATTATTTCTTCGCCATCTGATACTGGCAATCTCGATTATTCTCCTTCTGATCTTGCAGAGAAAAACAGCTATGACTGAGCAGCTTTCTCTGTAGTTGCCCTCGCCTACCCACCCCCACCCCTACTCCCACCCCAGGAGCTCATCTTTGTCATCATTATTATTATGCAATAACATACTATAGCTATATATGGTATTATTGTGACTTATGGTATATAACTATTTCTGTCATTTTGCTTATCTTTTGTTTTACAGGAATCAAATAACACCTCCTCTCTGGTCTAGAAGTACTCTGTATTTGGGACCATTCAATGCACCACTGCGTCCACGTGATATGCCAGCTTTGTAAAGCAGAATTGTTGGTACATCTAAACAAAGTGACTTCAAGTTCCTTCCTAAGTAAATGCGAGTGAAGGAGCCTGCCTTATCTGACACCCCATTCATCAGCAGGGTGGAACTGGCTAAAATGGCAAGCACGCTGTGGGTCCCCACATCTCCATGGGCCTTCTCTCAGATGCAGTCAGATCTCTGTACCCGCCCTGCGAGGTGCTTTGTTGTGCAGGTGTAAGCACGGAAAACAGGCATCTGAGGAATCTTACAAGCTGGGAAAATTACTCTGCAAACCCCAATTTTTAAAAATATGTCTTCCAGATGGATATTTTTTTCTCTGAAAGTTTTGATTCCCTGTATCAGAAAACATGCTTTCTTTTTAAATGATTCATTGAAAACTTAGAAGTAATCCAATAGTATGTTGTGATTATTTTGCTTTGTTATTTTTAAATCACTTGGCTCAAGTCCTAGTGAAATATGGGCTTTAAAACTTAGATTTCTTCTTCAAATAAAGAAGCCTCTTTTGTCATTACCATTTTTCAGGATTTATTTTCATGTGAAAAAAAACCCTCACTTGGAGCACTGGGCCAAGTTGTCCTGTCTGTATCTCCCTTACATCTTCTCCCTCTTGTGTTCAACAATCATAAAAAGAAGCTATCAAAAGGTAGACTACCTGAGGGAGACAAACGGAATGGCTCCAGTCGAATCTTCCCTTGTAAGACCCAGCGTTGTACACTTGCTTTTCCTGTTGGTGAATCATGAGGTTAACCGTGTGTGCAGAACTGTCTTTGGAGCATTTTGATGTAGGCCTGAGTCACTGTCTGTTAGGGACTTAAGTTGCTTTAGAGCCATCCTTTTTTTTCCTTTCCCACCGTACGATGAGTTTTCTATGAATGGAAACAAGGAAGTATCATATCTTTGTGTCTACGATGAGTTTTCTATGAATGGAAACAAGGAAGTATATCTTTGTGTCCCCTTTATTCTGACCTTATTCTGCAGAGAGACACGTAATACATCAGGGAAATGCAGAGCCACTTAACTGAAAACACCACCTACAAATCCACGCTGCCACACTCACACACTTTAACTCCTATGAGCAAGAGTTCTTCCAGTTAAAAGACTACACCCACACCAAAGCAAAATGCTCCCGAGTCCATTCCAACTCAAAGTGACCCGGTAGGAGGATAACTGACCCTGACAGTTTCTGAGACGGTGCGTTCTCCCATAAGCACACAACCTCGTCATTCTCCCAAGGAGCGGCTGGTGGGTTCAAACAGTTGACGGTGGAGTTAACGGTCCAAATGATAACCCACTGTGCCACCAGTGTCTCCTCAAAGGCTGTGTGTCCCACGTAAGTGTTTGTAAGTGGTGATGACAAAGAAGATAGTGAAATTGCATTGGGAACTCTAGTCTCTGCTATTAAGGTGCTTACTGTGCCATTTAACTAGTCACTTGGTAGACGGGCTCACCTGTTTTCAGGATGATATCAACTATAAGTGAGAGAGATGTCAATAAGGTTCTCTGTTTTTAAGTGGTTGTTGTCTAACCTCTTCCTGAAAGAGTTGATGATACCGTGATTTGGGGGGTCAAAAGTATCTTTCTCCAGTTCCTATCATTTGCTTCCTGGATCCGTGATGGATGTGCTTTCTGGGTCTCTTTTTGTGATTAGATTTCAGGTCCGTGCCTTAGTCTTCAAACTACATATATCTAATCCTTAATTGTTTCATTCACTGGACTCTGCTCATAGAATTACTTTATTTTCCTACTCCGTACCGCCTACTGGTCTTCCCTGGACCTCCAGCTGTTCTTGTCTGTTTTCTCCAATTTCTCAGACATTCAGGTTTTCTCAAATTAGTCAGCAGTCCAATTTCTTTCAGTTTTCCCCATCCTAGAATGTCCCTAATCATCATCTATTTTTCTGAAGATCTTCTCTTTTGCCACTGCTCTGTCCCCATTTTTATAGCTTACGCTTCCAACTTCTTAAAAATGTGATGGCCACACCTCTCTCTCTACCACTGTCTTCTCAGATAGTGCTTCAGGAATTATAGGACATCAGGGCAATATATTTAGTTTAGTCTCCTCATCTTAGAGCAATTCATTGCAGGGGAAAAACTAAGCCCAGAGTTTTTTCAAGTATAGAGAACTAGAGGGCCCAGCCGCGGGTCCCACTAATATAATTTCTGCTCCCATTAGTCTTGGCCATGGAATTCTGTTTACTCTGGAATCATTGGCCCTAACTGATGCAGCCATGGGCAGGGTGAGGTGGAAATGCCAAGGATCAGAGCTGGAATCTGCCATAGGCATTAGCAACCAGCACTTCCATAATTCATTTACCGTAAGGGATTCAGCTTCACACTGACTGGACACAAGATGTGAGCTGGAAAATGGGCATTTTAATGTGTACAAAAACAAGGGGCTTGTTTTCTTTTGATTGGGAGGACATTCCAAGCCCTTTGATTCGATACTGAATAACCATTTGGAGAAAGGTTTTTGTTTTTGTTGGGCTTTCTTAATTCTAATATTGCTAAACTTACATACTCACAAATTTATCTATTGATCCTCTCCACGGGAGCATCTTTGGCAGTTAGTTTTTTGGTTCGGTTTTGTTTTGTTTTTTTCAGTTTTGAAAAGCTCTTAGTTCTGTTGTTTTCAGTGCGTCCACCCCCAGCTGGTGGTATCTTTAGGACAAACCAGCAGATTGCCCTCAGAATATAGCTGAAGCCTTCACAGGGACAGGATTTGGTGTTGGCCATCTGTCAGTGAAGGACTTCTCTATTGCTGTCAGCTCCACCCGGCGTGCCATAGCTGGTAATGGGAAATTGTCCAGATGAAGGCATCCTTCAGTAATCACTGGTGTTCATGGGCATTCCCCAGCAACCTGTAATGCTATATGCACTTCTCTAGCATCTCCCAGGCTTCACGCTAACATTTTGGAACCTATGTGGCAGGCAAGGCTGGTGTTATCTTCATTTTCTGATTGAAGGCATTTTAGCTCAGAGAGATTGGCTTCCCTAAGTCACGTGGAAAGTGGCAGCGTGAAGACTAGACTCCCGGCCTAAGCTTCTTCGTCAGTGGCCATTCTGACACTTGAGCATTAACAACCGCAAATGAAAGGAAAAAGCACCACGCAGGTAGAACTATAAAACGATGGTTGGGTTTTACAAATGGAAGAGTTGATGACCATGAGAATCTTTTTTGTTTTCTTTCTTGTATGTGAACGCATGGCACAGGAAGACTGAAGGCAGGCACACACAATGGTGACAAACGGAGGGCCTCAGCAATAGGTCTTTTTTTACCCCAACAGTTTATTGGCCTATAATTCACATATAATACAATTCAATGGTCCTATCACATCAAGAAGAGTTGTACAGGTGTTTCCTTCATTCTTGTACTCATTGTTATTATCGCCCTATTTGCCCCCAACCTCCCCTGCCATCCCCCTAAGGACCATTAATACAGTTCTGTCCCTAGACTTCCATAGCCTAGATTTCATATACAGAAGAACATATTTTTGGAAAAACTAACAATAACCACTTAAAACAGATTAAAAACCTCAATTAAAAAAGAAAACAGAAAATATTAAAAGCTAGAACAAATTTAAACAGACCATAAGGGAGAGTAAATGATATGGTGCTGTACCCTAACTGCATCTTCAACAATCCAGTTTCCAATGTATTCTGCATGATAGCAAAGCTATTCATAGCCCTGGTTCGTGGTCAGAGGGGATTCACCAGGGGCTGAATCCACATGTATTTCCCCTTTACTTGTTTTTAAACTGAAACAATTTTTTTAATTAAAAGATTTTTTTGGAGGCTCTTACAGCTCTTATAACAACCATACATCAATTGTATCAAGTATATTTGTACATATGTTGCCATCATTTTCTAGACATTTACTCTCTAGTGAGCCCTAGGTCTCAGCTCCTCTCTTTTCCCTCCCTCCCCCGACCCTTGTGACCCCTTGATAAATTATAAATTATTATTATTTGATATCTTACACCGACCAATATCTCCCTTCACCCACGGTTTCTGTTGTTCGTCCCCCCGGGGGAAGAGTGTGTGTGTGTGTGATGATTATGTGTCGATCATTGCTATTGGTTCCCCTTGCTCTCCTCCTCTCCCCACCTTCCCCCTACCCTTTTGGTATTGCTACTACCATTCCTGTTCCTGGATTTCGTGTGTTGTGAGCTCTTATCTCTTATCTCATCTATACTTGTGCACATGCTCTGGTCTAGCCCACAGTGAAGAACCAGAGGACTATTGCGTGACTAGTCCTCAAAGAACCAGAGGACTATTGCGTGTTTCATTGGTGCTATACTGCACCCTGGTTGACTCATCCCTTCCTTGTGACCCTTCTGTGAGGGGATGTCGCATTATCTACAAATGGGTTTTGGGTCTCTGCTCTGAGCCCCTTTGTTCTCAACAATATGTTTTTCTTGTTTGTTTGTTTGTTTGTTTGGGGTCTTCTGATGCCTGTTACACAGTTCTGATGATACCTCATGATCACACAAGCTGGTGTGCTTCTTCCATGTGGGCTTGTTGCTTCTCTGCTACATGGCTGCTTGTTTAACTTCAAGCTTTTAAGACCCCAGATGCTATATATTTTAATAGCTGGGCACCATCTGATTTCTACACCACATTTGGCTATGCACCCATTTTATCTTCAGCAATTGTGCCAGGTGAGTGAGCAACACAGATTTCCAGTTTCTTAGAACAAAGTGTTCTTACATTGAGGGAGGGTCTGAGAAGAGGCCTGAAGTCCATCCACTACCTCAGTGTATTGCCATATAAATATATGTATGTAAGCCAATATCTCTGTTTTTATGAATCAATGTATTTACATATGTACACACTTATACTTATAATACCTCTATGCATAGCTTTGCTTCCTAGATCTTTCCTCTGTTTCCTTTTACATAACAAACATCTTTAAAATAGGTCAAAAGGGAGATCTGATGCTAAGATACTACATTTTGACCTGTGTCTGCCATAATCAAGCTGACCATGCTACCTGTCTGATAACAGGGT